CTGTGTTTTATCATACAAAAAATTACACGCATCTAAAACTAAAATACAAAAATAATAGCGTATGAAGTCAGAGAAAATTGTTTCAAATGTTTTCATACTGTTTAATCGCCGTCCTTTTATTCGAAATTAATTTTTCAACGATTATTTAAATAAAGACACGACAGCTAGACATGCTCTACTGAGCTGAAGTTTCAGGACTGACCTTTTTACTGGAGCAAAAACTCAGTAGTAAGGTTAAAAATTATATCTAGTCTATTTAACGTATCCATCTCCATATGCCGACGGGTAGGTGCATGCGAGTAGTACACAAGGTCAAAGGATATACGCCAGCTGATTGCCATGTAACTGCTTTGTGGCATTTCACTGAGGAGAACGGCGACAGAATCCGCCTTTTGTTTGAAATCAATACAATCGACTATCCTATGCCTTTCTAAATAGCAAAGGAATACGTGTACGTTTAGTCTCCACTTGATTATGTTGGGGGCCATCCATGTGTCGGTATTCTACCTGCATTAGCGTAAGAATGAAACAGTTATTTTGTTGATAAGGAAAGACACGTAGTATATATGACATGAAATATATTTATCTAGAAATCAATGCTATATGTCTGTCTATATAACTGATGTTACCGTTTCGCATTTGATGCTAATCTTTTTTTTACTCTGTTTCTGTTGTTTGTTGCATGCTCTCACTTATTATTAGTTCAATGCTTCTTGACCTGTTCTTCTCTCCCATAGACTGTTTCAATGCCCGTTGCAATACTTACGACGGTATCCAGTCTCTGAAGCCGTGCTACGGTACAACAATTCGTTTAACCTTAGACCGTTAAAAATCGGAGAGACGTAACTCATTTGGCGTTTTACCAAAAGGAGCGGCGCAATCGGTGGTTTCCACTTTAATCAAAAGATTCGCAAAAGATTGGCGGTCTGTTATAAGATATATCCCTATAAAACTGCAGGGAATGTCGGAAGATTCTTATCAGAACAGCAAATGCAGGAGATACACAAGACAATTAATCACCGGTATCTGTTCATTTTTACTTAAATTATCACACATTGTATGCATAACAAGCAGCGTATATACACAACAGTTTGTTTTGCAGTGGGAATGGACCAATTGGTGTAAATGTATACGCTCTAAACTGTTTCTATAATAGAGCTTCCTTCAAGTAAAATTTCTTATTTCTTTTATAATAAAATAAAAAAGCAAGAGATTGCAAGTACATGTACCCAGCGCATTTACGATTCTCGCAGTTACAAGTTGAGCCGTACAAAATTTTTTTCAAAGCCAAATCTCATAGCACCGGTACCCCAGCTAGAGATATTGTTACCATTTCTGACATGTTCTGAATTTAAAGAGCTTGTGGGCAACGAGCAAAGGTCTTGTTCAGCTGACCAACTTGTGAGGCCACGAAAAAAGCGTTCTACCGGAAAGGTCAATGTTGCTCTCTATTCCGGTAGTGCGTTGAATAGGGCGGAGTATTAACTTAACGCGGCGGGAAGCTCTGGTAGCTATAGCCTGTACTTCCGACTAACAAAAATCTTTTGCTGACAGATGAAGCTATTTACAAGCCTTCAGTATTATATACGGAATAATTTACATGCAAGTAATTCTGACATAAATACATGTTTTAGAAGAATATAGAGATATATGATATGCTCGACATGCCTTTTGTGGAACAAGCCTATCCGTACCTATACCACAGACTCTGCTCATCCTAAGCTTCAATTCCATTAGATTTTAAAGTTACGCGTTTTTCAGGTTAGCATAAATTTAATCGGAGTGTCTTCATCATTATATATGCACAGCTCTAAAGCATGGCTTATCTAAATTCGGACAAACTTTGAGCTGTCAAAGCGGACATCCGCTCATCGTCTTCGCAGTAGAAGTACATCAGTATTTTCTGGAATATCACTACAAGCTCATCGAAAAGCATGTTTCGTTTACGAACGTTGAGCAAAGATCAAGTATAATCCGGTGTTTTCGAGCTGTTTTCGAACCCGCCACAAAATTACGAAATGGGTTATCCCAAATCGACAGCATCGAAAATAATCAAGCGATTGCAGAATAAGTGAGAGTAGGTTTCAACACATCACAGGAGAATCTACGACTACAAAATCTCGGAAGTTAATTGATACCGTCCAAATGTGCATTTTTGAAGCTGCTTTTGTTTATATCAGATTCTGATCGCAGAAATTTGACGTGAATTAGGCTGCCCTGCGATGTATCGATACAAAAATCAACTGGAAAAACGATAGCTGGCTTGCTAGTGATCCAGAAAATGTGTCTATTTATAAATGTAATGCCATTATACTTCTTCCAGAAAAGCGAACGTGTTACCCAGAACGTTTGTTCGCATGTTGTACGAATTGTTGTGCTATCGTCGATGGTTAAGGTTTTTGAGGAAAAACTATGCGTCCTATAGCAAGACGGTATGTTGTCTGATACACACGAGATTTACGCAGGATTGATTACTTGAGGACGTAAGCATGTTCTGGAACAGGCACATAATGGTTTCTGTACATCCCAGATTGAAACCCGGTAAATTATGTATATTGAGCGTTAAGCAAGGGTCTCATAAGTACGAACATGACGTACGTTGACTCGCTCAATCGTGCTATTAAAGAGATGTTTGCAGAATGAACATTCGAAATGGACCTGTGACAGATCCCTGTAATCGTCTTGAATGGCGATTATATAGAAAACTAATCTTGACTTCTATTTGTCTTTCAATCTTCGAAACAACTCGTGAGCTTAAATCGAAGAGGCCCGAGGTTACATAGGCCACCCTGTATCAACGTGTTAATTTGCGCATATAGCCGTTGTGGAATTCAGGATTCTATTATATTTTAATAATTTAAGCTCATCTACTGATCTTAAATCAATCCTATGTCTAGCCGCGTTTATTTTTATGAGCAGCCTGAAAGACGTTGGGCTTCTCCAGACAATGCTCGTCGTCACTGGCACTTGCTCTACAAAGTCCAAAAACGGGAATCTTTTGCCGTACCATTCCCACTACTGTTGAAATGTTCATCAGTTCACAAGTCCGATCCTGGACGGTGTCTGTGCAACTTATTTCCACTGATAATTTTACTTTCAATGAATATACGGTCAAAAAGCAACAAGCTTAACGCTGGAAAATAAGACGAAGCATCCAACTGTAACCGATCTTCATAAAGGACTACTTTGTTGCTAAGGCACAATCCGGGGCCCCGGCTTGCACTCTATGTAAAATGTAGACCCTTTCCTCTTGAGGGTCGAAATTTTATAATGTAAAGATATTATTAAAATAATCTGCACTGTAATGGTTTTGAGATTTCTTTACAGGCTCTAGGAGAAGCTTGGATAAGTCAGGTGTCAGTACACTCTTTTAACTTCCAAAACGAAAAAATCCTAATTTTTTAGATATTGCTTTTCAACAAGTTCCACGCGAAACCGTCCAGCTGCGTTGGTTCAACTTTTTAGACAAGTGTATCCATCCTCTCGGGACAAACGCTTGAGTTTTCGATCAAGCGCTACTACTGCACTGAATTGCTGCAATCGCCGAGATATGGAGCTGTTTGAAGTTCCTAAAACGCCATCACTTACTGTACTCGAATTTTTCGGCAAGCACACGTAGTTTCGTAGGCAACTTTAAGAATCTAAGATACATTTTTATAATCTGAATATTGCAAAGCAAGAACTCCCAGGCCATAATGTTAGAAAAAAGCAAATGGTGCGTCATAATCGCTACTTTACATTCACTAAAAATAAATTTTCGAAGATTGATTTCATTTCACGAATAGCCCCATTCGGGATCATTTTCCATGATGCAACCCTTTCAGTTTCAAATGAATTGAGTCGGGGAGAAAATTATCTATTAGCATATAGCTGATATTTTCTCATAGAACTTGCCGCCGTATCAAGCCACAAGATACCTGCTAGTAATGTGAAGCAATTATGCAGTTCTGCTAGTGCATGAAAAATCTTCTGGAGCTGCTTTTTTCGACCATCTGTGGAAGCTGTGACAGCACAACGCTGTTTTCTAGCCATTACCATTTATATCATCTTGCGATGTTTGACGGGCGAGCAATGGCTTCAGACACACCTGTCCGAAATGAGTGGGGTCTACAGCGAAAGGGCTAGAACATAGATAGCGCGCTATCTTTATTCACCGTCTCCAGTTCAAATAATGATACTGCTTCTTCATTCACTAGTGATATCCGAACTATTTTCGTTTAGGGAAGGGGGTCCGACCATCCGTCGGAAGAATCTGACGTCACGGACGGTTCTGGCCCCGGTGCTAGCGGGATCATCGAAGTACTACGCCTCCTGCGGGTGGTGCTGTTTATCCTGCCATGACTAGACGACAATTAGAATGCTTATGCAAAACTCTCGGACCCCCATTCGTAATCGGAAGGAAGAAATCTGAAAAGCGGCTTTTTGACGAGCCCCAACGGCAACAGTATCGCTTCTGCCATAGAAGAGTGGAAATAAGATCTAAAGACAATAGCTCATTTACACAATTGTAGTCGTCGTGTTGTAGACGGTACACACATGGTGCAACAAATTCATAAGATATGTGGCTAGCTACGTGACTGATTGAGACACCGAAGATCGGCTCTTATTTTTCAAAATTTATTTGAAATTTTCAAACGATTTTGTTTCCTTATATAGCAATATAAATTAATTTTAATTATTATATTAATTAACTTTAATGTTAATCATATACTTTCTACCCGAGTTCTAAATCCGTGCACAATCAAGTTATTAAAAAAATTATGCATCAATTTGCAATCAGCTTTTTCCTGTTATCGAGATCATGCTGCAAAAACAGATTAGCAAGAGACGCCACTTGAAATCTGAATTCTCAATATTGCTATTTGAACAGCATATAGCCATAAGACGACGTGATGCTCATGGAGATTCAAGCAACGCTAGTAAATCATACGCATAAAAATGGCTTTATGCTTAACCTGCTCGTCCGCGAATAAAAAGAATTTTATTCAGTGTACACGTACCTAAATTGACGAATCTTACGGACAGCTTGAAGTGCTGCAGATTGAGCCATGGCCGCCGAAACAGTCACGTGTAGGTCCTCCCAGATATTCTGTACCTCCTACGGCGTGTGTGCTTGCGTGTTATAGCAATCGCTTAGAGACACACGAGTAGTTGCACACATTCATGCAAACGGACACTTGCACGCTCTACACAGTAACGCTATAAGAAATACGGTTGCTTAATAGTTCGTTGTCATCAAGCGGTCCGGTAGTCTTGTAGTTCTGCGGAAAGAGTTGTGATGGTGTCAATCTTTCGTGCAATTAGATAGAGAAGGGGGTCACTGTCACGAACTTAGCCACTGTCGAGCACCAAATGACGCGCCTACAACGCGATAATGCTTCTGTTTAGCGATATCATAAATACAGTTTCACTATACTTCAGATAAATATATCAAACGATTAAGCAATTATTAATTTCTCCTGAGTTTCTCAGGAAAATGCCCTGCTTTGGGCGATTTATTCTCCAGGAACTAGACCGTCAGCACGGCTCCTAAAGCTTTCTGAGTCCTGATACACCATTCAGCGAATGCACTTTGTTTCTTAAGCGTGACTTCACTCCGCTGTTTTCCTCTGGTTAACTTGACAAGAGGTGCGCGTTGCTAGAAAAAAAACACCGGATTTGTCGCAGGAGTGGTAACCGATCTGCCGGCCGGCCGGCCGGTTGCGCTTTGATGAGTCTGCGGACTTTTCCCTTCGCAGTTCCCGACTGGATGATGTCGCCCTTATAGCTTTTCGCCGATCGACCTTTCGTTTACTTTAACTCTGTTCCGGAAAAAACAGAACTGCAACGTTCAGACTTCAAAAAACCATAATGTCTCGTGTTCAGCAGCATCGAGTGAGGGTCAAATGCACAATGTGGCAATTGCCTAAATGACACCCGGTGATATTTTCGTTCTGTTGTTGTTGTTATCGTTGGTCGGATGCATATGCGTGCTATGTTTGCAACAAAAGAGGAAGTCGCTCATTTAGACGACCATGCTACACGTAGCGTAATAACCGACACTGAAAGTGGCCGCGACTGATGGTTTGTAAGGCGAGTGCTCCTGCTGCTATCTATTGTAGAGAGGACAGATGGACCTAAACTGTGGCGCACCGGGCGCGAGGGAGGAGCCATGAGACCCTGGGAGAGGGCAGACACAAAAGCACAGTACTACGACCAACAGCGGAGCGGAGCGGAGCGCAACCCTCCAAGCGCAGCCAGCACAATCACCATCACCCGGCCAGCCGGCCGGCCGGCGGGCCGGACAGCCAACTAGACAATACTTATTCATTGGATGGCTTCTATTTGGATGCGAATGGATATAAATTCGAATATGATGAGGAGATCCTCTTAATACACAAAACGTGTACATATCTGACGTGAACAGAAGATGACATGCTTGAGTATGAGCCGCCTTTATAATAAGGAAACTTAGACTATATAAGCTTACAGTTTGTCTTCTTTTTCACTTTTTTTTTTCTGTTCTCGAGGACGCCAATGCTGTAAGCTCATTCTTCGTGGTGCATTGTAAATTAAGTTGAATGAGAAGTATTTGCACGACTTGGATTAGGCAATGCAAACTTAGAACACTGAAGCTATTGGTGATGGCAAGCCTTAAATTTATGAATCACTTCTGGACTAGCCATACGTAATCATCGATTGCGTATTTGCAAATGAAAGAACACTCACAAATAAATCTGTGGCGGAATATATGGCGTTCTGTTGACGACGTTGTTGCCAACGGTTAAAATGCGACCGGACCCAATTAATCCCACGCAGGCATAAATTGTGAAGTGTTTTCATGGACTACCTTTTTTTTTCTAGAAGTATTCGTGCTAGTCCCAGTGTATAAACACATAGCACAGCGTTTTGCTTATCATAGGCTAGCTAAATTGTATTCAAGAGACTGTTATTGAAACTTCAAATTAATCTCATTGTGACAAATATTAGGAATAGAGTTGTCCTGTTTAAGAGTGGGATTAAAATTAAGCTTACTGTCTAAACACGGTAAATATATCTACAACTGTTTTTTCAAGAATTTGATACCTAATATGAAGATTTTGTCTAGACGTGTCAGTGTATAAAAGAACGACATGCACTATTTTTTATAACTATTGTATTTTTTAAATTATTTTTCTTTGTTAGTAATTGTTTATTCTTATGTAAACTGCGATTTCAGAAGAGCATACTACAATTTTAATATATATAATAAAACGCTCTATGTTATTACGAAACTTGATTTATGACGAACTTACTTGTTCTACGGACGTGTTTGATAAAACAAGAATTAATTAGAACCGTATGGTGTCTATAGTTTTCCTTGAGTTCATACAGGCGAAAATTACCTTACAGAATCAAAACGAGATGAATCGTTATATTGTATTGCGGAACAACACCTCTGATAAGATTCAACTCATAGAAGTGTGGTTCAACCGTCCAAGTTGAACTGATCTTCAAGAAGACTGCTAATACGGTATTGCGAGACCTCAAGTTCAGTAACCGACAGATTCCATGCACGAGCGTAAGCGTCCACAAGCCGATCTTCGTAAGCCTACCCTTTCCCTAGAATTCTATCAATGAGATCTTCTCTTTAAGTCTCAACGATAGCCAGGTGGTGAACTCTTGCAGAGAGCCATCGTATGCTCTTTGTGCATCTGACTGGGGTAGTCGCTCTTCCTAAATATACCAACAAATTGAGCAGTTGATCCCCTAGCGACTGTGGCGAAATCAGGCTGACTGGATGCTAAGGTAGATGCGTTGATCAAGTATTAGACAAGAGATAAAGACAGACTTAAAAAGTCAGTTAAAAACAATTTAAGAAAAATGGCAGCGTGGATCCTATGCATTCACCCCTTGCCCACTTTTCCTGTAATTTAGTTAAACAAACCGATTGCCAGAACAAAGTGCAATCTGCTTTAACCGTACGAGCAAGGATTCAGTGAACAGATTTATAATTAGCTAAGACATTTGTCTATAATTAATTTACACTGACGAAAGAAATAGGCTTGCAATTGAAGAACACCCGTTACAAAAAATACACATTTTTCTTAAAAAGAAGCCTACTTTTTTCCAAACCCTATTATTGAATTTTGAATTACCTTTGGTTACGAATAGTAAAAGACTGACATTTCCGAGGGCAAATTTCAAAGATCGAATTGGCAGCCTAGTTTTAAAAATTGCAAATATTTAACTATCTCCAAGTAAAATTTGTCCGCTTCTTTAGAGATTTAACCATATAAAGTCACGAGTATAATATAGTCTACAAGGATCACAGTATGTTTTCAATAAGAAATGACCCAACATTGTCAATGCAAGTCCTCTCAACATGATAAGAAATCATACAACGAATAAAATCACTTAGGTCTTTTTGAATTTTCGATGTAGATCAAACGTGACCAGCTTTATGACATTTCTTTCTAATATCTATATGTATATATATATATATATATACATATATATATACGGCAATGTTACTGATGTTTTCAAATACCGCCGTATTGACTGACCACTTGCGTGCCAGCACGTGCGAATCGTTGTCCTCATATATGTATCCCTCAGTATATAGACTGCCATATCTTCTTTGGCAGTGGACAACTCTATTTAAAGCCATAGGGGATAGCTCTTAGGAACAAGGCATCGTTCAATAATAGCTAGCCAGATGTATCTTAAACCTAGCCTCATATCTCACTTTAGTAAAAACCATAAAACCTGTACGTAAACTTTTTTTCGTTTTTAATTGCTATGTATTGATATAGTACTTTAAGATTAACCTATGTTTATATAAGCTAGCAAATGATGTGCGTTACTTTTCTTATTTGATTCACAAGTTGATTGTTAAAGCCAACATCAAATTTCCAAGGCTAAATGTCTTAGGCCCCCCATTTGGTCTCAAACTAGTAACTTTTATTTACCGTCCTATGGCAACTTAACCATCAGCAGATAGATAATTAAATGGAGAAGGATAAATAGACACTGGGTGCACATTTGTAGAATTCTGTGTGTTCAGCTCTATGTGTTCCACATGCTATAATGGTTAGTTATTATTAGCTATCATATAGTTGAACGTTATTGATAAATCATTAGTTCTATGATTCATCATAATAAATGTAGAATCTTAGTTTTTTCTAATTCACCTGAGAAACGGTATAAGCGCCAATTTCTATCAAGTAGTTAGGATCGAACTTACAGGGCACTCATCTTTTATTGTTTATTGCGATTTGTGAGATAATCGAAATATTTGAGCAATATAAATTCTTACTCAAATACTATCATTTTTTTTAATACGCGCCTCTTACCCTTGTTTCCCTAAGCACAAAACGTGTAGTTAAAAGTTTTCATATATACCTATTACTCGAATAATGAGAATCTAAATTCAAATATTACATAATGCTTTATAATTATTCTCACTGATATTTAGGCTAAAAAAGCGGTGAAAGCGTGTGCGTGTACGAAAGAAACGGATGCCCTTACCCAAAGCCATACACATATCACTAGTTAGGCTATTTTAAGTGATATTTTATTATGGAAATTTACTGTGCTTTAGTTTCATCGGTAGAAGAAGCAGCCTTTTTAATTTGTGGTGTTTTCTAGCCAGACTATTTTTAGTTCGTATATACGAAGCTTGATTATGGTACACATTGGTTGTATCAGTTTTAATAGACACTCTTCTATTGGTGAATCAGTTTAAACAGGCTCAATTTATTATTATTATTATTATTATTATACTCTTTATTATAATCTTATATTGCTAAATGATTTTGGAAAGAATATTATTATTTGATTAAGTTAGTTGATTATCAAAGTAGTCCAACCAACCTCACAAACAGATCCACCCAAACGCTGCGGTTCGGTTAAATAACTTTAGTTTTATAGATCACGAAACTGTCGAGTAGCATCAGACTGATAGTGCTACGGCCGTAAACGTCTATTTCTTAATAGTAATTACTTATCTTCAAAGTTAGTTGATTTTTCTTATGTTTTCCTTAAACATTTTTGTAAGGACTAGTTATAAACGCATAAATCCACCATAAAAGTGAATGACTATTGATTGGTACCAAAATGACAAATGAGTAAATACTTTATTATTTGTGTGGTTTTTGATAGTATGGATAATGTTTGATATCTACATAAAATTCACATTAAAAATAGCAACACGCGGTCGTAAGGTATGCATTTATATTAAACCCTCTAATAAATTACATGTATTCTTATAATATTCCAAGAGTATATTCAACATGATCTTCTTCGCGCCATAATTTGAACTTGGCGCCCTTTCGTTGCGCTTTCTCACTGGAAGCAGACGGCCGATTGGACGCAATAACAGGTTCATACATATTCGAAATGCGTGCTAACCGGCCTCTATCAGCATGGAAGAAAGTAATTTAAGTAGCGAAGGTGAAGTAGTATTCTGCCGTCAGTCTGGCGTTGGTACTGAGGATGACTGGGACGATACAGCACTAATCGAAGCCTATGATCGAGCTGTTGGCTGCATTTATAAGGAGCTTGACAAGCGTAAGGCCTCCAGGAAAGGAAGTGTTTCGTTAAAATGGAGAACTGGCGAGTATTGCCGGTCTCAATATAGCGAAGATGGAGTGTGGTATGAAGCAAAGATTCTGTCGATTTGTGGTGACTTGTGTACTGTGCAGTATCTTGGTTACCTAAATGAAGAGGAAAAAAGCTTAGACAGTTTGAGAAAGAGCCGAGGAGACACAAGCAGGCAACTACAGATTTCCGAGGCTAACGGATTCGAGGACGTTGTAAAGGAGGCAGCAACAGATCGCAATAGATCTCGATACCCATTCTCGAAGCCCAGTGCTTTAGGCAATAAGGCTAAAGATAACGTTATACCATCTACAAGTGGATTGAAAGACCGCTTGATTTCCAGTGACGAGAAGGAAGCTCAACCAGCTACATCTTCTCTTCAGTATCGATCGTTAAAAGATAACGAACACGAACGACGGAAGCGGGGAGCTTTTCTACATGAAAGTGGTCCAGGTATAGCTTTTCCTCCACCACCGCCTCCGTTCCCGCCACACGTTGACGGAATTTGCAGTAGCGATGAAGCTTTGGCTGCAATGTTAATGTCGTGGTACATTTCCGGGTATCATACAGGATACTATCAGGCCATGCGACAAAGTGGTGGATCTAGTTGATTCAGAATTGCGGTTATGATGCCACATCACATGGTGCGAGCTTCGTACTGTTGTTCGTCTCGAATCGGTGCAAGCTTACAAATTAAGTGGGCGTGAATTCTGTAGATATAAAATCACCTACGGTTCACTAAACATGAACAGTACATGTACATATGCAAATGCACGTCTGCGTAATTTATTGCATTCAACGTTGTCCTGTTAATTCTTGTTCATCTCATACTAATCGTAGGGAATTTCATTAGGAGAGCTATTAGAAAATGTTCTGCAACCTAGCAAGAAATTGCAAACGAAAATTACTATAGTGGATAGCATGAAGTTCAACGTTTTACAACAGCGAAGAACTGTTAGATGGCAGTCAATAAATGCGCAAAATGTTTTTTTTCGATTCTATTTAAGCTTTGCCAAGTTCCTGTAGGCCACTTAATTGTTCATCGCGGAATGTAAAATTTCTCAATTGGCGGTGAATCTTTATACTTCTCTATAAACTCAGAGTCAGATAATTGCCTCCGGTAGTAGCCGCGCCCATACTGATGCTTCTCTTCTAAGATTTAAGTATAAGGACATAAGAACAAGCCTGGAATTATATACGTGCAGAAAGCTCAGGCAAAACAATCGGAGGTGACATTGGGAACTATGGAAAATAATTATTAAGTAAGAAATAAAAAATAAAATATTAAGTAATAAACAGATTGTCCAATCATAAATAGATTCATTTTATCAACTAAGGACTATATAAAAAGCATGGCTTCAGATTCAACCTCTGTTCTTCCATAGCTGCTACGATGTACTTATTTTACGGTCGATAGGATAGGTCGCACTGGCCATGAACCCGCATCAAATATATGATGAAATTTGTAATGCAATATCTGAATAGATAACTTAAAAGTAGTTAGAGTTCAAAGTGCACGTTGGCTTAGTGCAAAGTGGAAATACTGCTCCACATGCCTAAAGTTCCACCCTAGATCTCAACAAAGAGTAGCCTGTTGATATTGATCCTACGCTTGCACTTAAGACTATATCGTTCATACCAATATTAATTTGTTATTATGTAGCACACCTACATCAGAACGTATCGACACAAACGTTTAGTAAATTAAGGTACACCAAAAAGTAAATATGGATAAAGCACAATTTTTGTAGTTCTTTTAGCATGCGTAGGTAGATTTTGCTCAAAGACATAACCAAATTACTTTTAAGCGTACTAAAATGGAATCTTGACGAAGTGTGTTTTATCACGAAGTTGTGGGCTAGTTATCTTAGTTAATATGTGGTGTTTCCATTTTTGTAGTTGAAGTTACTATCATTCTCTAAACGCTTCAGGTTCGACTAGGTTATCAGAGATTGGAGAAGAATCCTCTGCCTCGCTACCTTTTATTCTTCCATTTGCTACTTTTTTTTTGGTTGTAAAAGTTCGAAGGAAATTTTATTCGACTTAGACCCGATGTCAAGTAAGGGATTATAATTCACTGCTGATGCAATTTTTTTTATTGAGTCCTTTTGGTTCGCGCAAGTACAAACATTTTTATTAGACGCAATTCTTACTAGGTGCAAACAGAAACTCGAGAATGTAGCCAAATTAACAAAACATTTTTAACAAAATTAACAAAAACTTCTATCGCCTGGTAATCAGATTTATTTTTGTATAAAATCAGCAGGCTCACTAAGCCAGTGACTGTTTCTGATAAAACGAGGTTGCGGTCTGAACGAATGGGTGAGTTAATTACAGATAGATTATCAATTAGAAAGCGAATCTAAACTCGCACATAACCAAAGATTGTTTCACCCCTGCTGCCCATGTTTTCGGCGTCAGTTCTGGCCGGATCAGTTATGACTTGAACCTGAAATGGTTATCTATACTGAAGTTAGTATCACCTTTACCTATCATTAACATGGATGGGAGGTTTTTGTTCAGTCCTGTCTTCTTCGTCTCAAATTGGTGCAATATAGTTTATTGAAATTTCCATGTGAAATCCTCAAGGATAGCAGTGCATTTGTCGAGGTCTCATTATGCCGCTTGCTAAATGGGTCGATCAGAACACCAAACTGGAACATACATCTTCGTTTTTTGTTTTGCAGTTTCAAATGGTTAAATGTTTTAAAAGCTATAATTATATACCGGCGAATGTTTCAATTGGTTCACATGGTTTATAAGAATTAATAAAGCGTTTTGAATTAGGACTATCTCCAGCATGCGTGGTAGATCGTTATATGCGTACATATATGTTTACGTAAGTGCTTTTATTTATTATCAATAAAGGTTCGAGCGCGGTAAGTCAAATAGTTAACACCACTAGATTCGAAAACGACTAATGTCATTTCTTCCATGGTTAATGGGCATTTCGTGCATTTCAATATAATCTGTAGCATGTGTATTTCGTCGTGAAGATCTCAACAACGCCAATTTTCAAAGCCTTGGTGGAATCCTCAATAATATATTTCCTTGCCGTAGAAAAGATTCTCCAAAGTACATAATTGGCTCGATCCTCTATAACGACGGAAATGCGTAGAACATTCAACATCAAAAAACGGAAGTGTTATTTCAATGGTAATAATAAGCTCTAAAGTTCAACTTTCGTTAACGAGCATGAACTGGCTTCAGCATATGGCGAGGAGCTTTCACAATGGTGGCAATGACTTCCGAGCCAGCAGCCAGCGCAGCTTCTGCTCCCGTCGGGGCTGTGGATTGGATTGTCACATCGGCCGGATTTTTCGATTCCGTACCTGTGCAAAACGCAACACATATAGAAAGACAATTAAGTAATCTTTTTTCCTCCTCTATATATTGGATATGGCAATTAAAATACGTACCAAGTGCTACGTATGTATGGCTGTCAAAAACAAACTGCCAATGATACTGAAGTGTCCTAGTCTGATCTTCCGAACAACACTAGTAATACGAAAAAAAGCCATAAGTCGTCTTTAATGGTAAAGATCATTCCGATCGCTCGCATTATTTCAAGCTCCTTCTTGTATAGTTCTTTAAAGCACTTGCTTAGGATGGAATCGTTTCAGCAAAAAGCTATTTTGGATTTATTTTTGTTGAGCAGTTTTAGATTTTCATCGCCCAATTGCGGCGGTCATACCTGAACCTAACAATTTAATTATTTTCTTTTTAGCTATTAGTTATGTGTATGCATTGTTTGAACGTCTTGTAAAACCTTATTCATCCCATAAAGCGATATTGCAATCAGATTTGTCTACTACTCTATGTACCTCACTTCAGAACTAAATAGTATTTTTTTTTCGAATCATAGGGATGTTGATGCTTTTTTACTATGAACGTTTTAATATAATATAATAGAATACATTAACTGTACATTAGATTGTAAGCTTGTGCTTGTGTTTTTATACAAAACAAGAACCCGTTCTTGAATACACTCTAAAAACGTAAAACGCTAAATAGATAAAACTGCTGTTAACACTGTTACATTACATTAATGTTACATCGCTATTGCGTTTACGTTGAGCTTGCGAAAATTGCTATTAGGTGTAGCAAAGTAAAGCTTCGTGTAGTATATTTCAAGGCAAATACTAAACGAACCTACGGAGTCAGAAATACAAAGTTTACAAGGAAAAAGCATAGTATTGATTTCTGCTTAGAATCGACTAGCAGATACGTTTCCAGTTCGTCTTAATCGATGTTTAGTACGATTTGTTTCATGCATCACGGTTTTCAAAACTAATTTGAAAAACCATCTCAGTAGGCAGTTTGTATCATATCAAAATAGCTTTCAAATACCTTAAGGCATTATTATAAGGCGTTTTACTCAAGGCCAAACAATTTACATGAATTGCCGATATACTTGCGGATATATAAAAGTGCTTTTTTAGGATAGAAAAGGTAGAAATTGCTTTATTTTTATAATTACCATATTGTTGCCTGACGACTAAACTTCTCATCTTGTGGAACATTGAAGATTGTATTACACATTATAGTTACACATTTACAGTTAGCTTACCCTGCTCATTGGTAACTACATCCGCGTGAAAGCCAGTTTCGTCGGCCCAATAGGTTACAACGCGCATCCTTCCATCAGCCAGCATAAGGGTGTATTTTCCAGTTATTTTTCCACTGCCGTCACCGGACTCCTCGTGACTCGACGAGCCTTCCTTATCCTGGGATGTGTAAGAAAAACTGTACGGTTCCGGCGGGCCTTCGTTGCTCTGACATAAGGCAACCGCTACCAAACACGTCACTACAAGCACCTACGTGTATATACAAACACAACACACCATTATAAACTTAAATTATCAATAGAAAATGCATAAAGCACTTACATATTAGAAACAAGTATTTCTAATAGCGTACTTTCTCATTTTTGCTTATGTTTAAGTGTCAGTATCATAGATTTAAAGAATGAAGGTCGCGTGTGCACTTGTGTACGTTAAAAAATGGTAAGTTATCAACTCAATTATCTTCCTGGAGGGCTCCAAAAAAATATTAATATTAGGTCACTATTTAAGGGAATCAATAAGAAGCCAGGCGCTGAACTGACTGTAGGATTGATGCGAATATATTCGAAAAAGTCCTCATTATGTAAAGCATGCAAGATCTTCACGTCACCTATAATATTCTCGGGGTCATTATGTATGTGGTCTCGCATTATACGTGCATTATAGTTAGATAATAACAAAAAAAATAAAGGTAAAGGTATAAGCGGCTTAAACGTTGTCTTATTGTAATTTGTATGAAAGCAGTATACCTATCATTTTCCAGACATGACCTAGATTATACAGCGGTAAGGCTACTATTTCAACGAATTGGGTTTCGTTACCGCATATAGACAAAAATTCACTTGATAGGTTACATCGATCACTGCACATAAATGTTTGTCTAAAATTGAAGTTAGGACACCTCCATATTTCTATCGAAGTTGAAATGTACCACGCTCTGGCAGCTACGGCTTTCTAAACACTATTTCAATACAGATTTGACTTCACAGCACACCCAGCATCATACACTGGATGAATGTCCTGCAGCTGGCCTTTTGTCAACTATTTTAGCATATATGGATAGGGTATCGTTTCATCCTTGACGTTGTTTCAGAGATACTTCAAAACCGAGAGGAACTAAAACGTTGCTTAAAAAGTCGGTGTCGTCTAAAATATGGATCACTTTATTCTGTGTTGTTATTGGCCATACAAAATAGGTTTATTATATGACTGTTTTGAGAATGTGCCATAAAATGGAATAGAGACTGTTTACTTCTCTAATTCTACCACAACTAGTATTTTTTCTGCGCGTTTATATAGGAGTTCATATGCCATATAGATCAGCTAATCCTATTTCATTATTGCAGTCGCAATGAAGTAATCACACTATAATATTAATACTCTGATGATCACACTACGTAAACATGTAGGTATTTCTTAGTAAAACAAAAAAGGACTTTGGTTTAATATCTAATGTTTCATTAATAACAGTCACTTTGGCAAGTACCAAAGAAAACGAAGATTGAAATTTTCTGAATTAGCGGTATATTTTAAAGGTAGTTGAAGTAAACGCTTAAAATCTTAATATTGTAATTTGGTTAGTGCTTTCCACTTAGCTCATTTGAAACAAAATAAAGTGTGGGAATGACTGACGCTCTCATACCACGACCGTATCTTTACTTTGTCAATTGAAATTGTGATTCTAAAACTGTACTACATTCGTTTCTATAATGCCCGTCAAGCTAGACTAAAGGAAACTCCCACAAGCAACAAAATCGATTTTAAAAGTTCTTTAAAAATGGAATCACCATTTTTCAAGATCTTTTAAAATTGTTCGCTTTTAGCCGTTTACTGAAAAATCAACAATTAGCAACAAGAAAAACCAGAAAACAGGAGACAGAAGTATTTCGGCCTTTATATGATAGCTTAATGCTCATCTACGCTCATCCACTTTTCAAAATTTTACTTTCACGTACTCTCCGTGCACTTTTTAGGTTTACGGTTGACTCTCAAAATTAAAGCACACTCGACCGTTATCTCAGAGTATGCCTACACCTTGAGCTTTTTGAGAAAACAAAGTTTTTCTGCTCTCATACAGCTTGCACTCCGCAGTAGAGTGGCCTCAAATTTGTGCAGGCACAAATCTAGTTGGACAAGAGAATATAGAAATAAAAAGTGTTATATGACTTTTGGTTCCATCACTTCGGTTTGTGGCTAGCAACTTCAGTATCGAGCATTTGTAAGTATCGAGCAATTTTTTAATATTCAAAATTATCTTCAGTTAAGTAACTATCTCGTCGAAATGCGGGCTGACAATACTAAAAAACCTACGTTTACGGGTGGACATCCATGTCACCATGATATCTCGCCACCGCGGGATCAGTCAAAAATAACCCTTTTACTTAGCTTACTTAAAGTGTAAATAATTCCACACGCGTATTCGAAACGCGGACATTCTTTTACTACTTTTTTTTTTTTTTTAAATTTTTTACCGTTTTCTTATTGTGCACTTAATCCAAGGACCTAATATTAGATCAGAGAGGTTTCCTCAATGCTTTCAACGAGAAGTGCAATCAGAATCCTACAGTAACTAAATCGAGCGTCTTCTATCTTATGTTTTGCCTAAGTGGTCTATAGTGTCAAAAAAAAAGAGAAATTACGTGTGAAATAACTACTAATAAACGGTAGGCTGTGTTTTATAATTATAGTACCTTGTACTTACATACCTTGAGCATATTGAAAGAGTTATTCTCTTTTAAAACGTATTCCTTCGTAAATCTTTTTTTCACTTCCTTTAAATCTCATAGACGCAAGCACTAACTGAAGCACGTGCCTCTTAGAGCAACGCCTTTAAGCTGCACAGCGGATTTATTGCCGTCAGTGAACTCAGCTCTTTTCTGAGAGAAAGGGTGACCATTGACGGGAAAATAGAAGAGAATATATTGGCTGCCACCTCAGGAAGATGCATTTCGTTCAAATTTATTTAGCAGAAGTGTCGAATGCGGCAACTCGGCCATTGTGATGAAGCTTGCCTTCATGGTAACTATGCTTGCTATGACAATGACTTAAACAGTCATCAAATAAAAAAAGCATTCTAATGTATCCACTTATAGTCTATTTCGTTGTTTATACTGATAAATATGTTTCTAATGTTGAGTAAAGATAGTTTTGACTGGAATCGAATTCAGACAACCGAGATCCTCCCCTCATTCGATGCGTATCCGAGACTGTTAGACATGCGGTGGTTCGTTCCAACTGCGCAAGTAAGCTTTCGGAGACTACATACGAATCAACGAAGAAGACCCTGCCGGGCGACAGAACCAGAAGGGTCAAAACAAAATCAGTCTGAGGAAAAAGGCCGTCCTTAAACGAAAAATTTTGCTCAGTATATAGTCATTTTTGCGAACGAAATCAGAGAGAATTAGATATACATTTGGAAAAAAAGGAAGAGTTAAGAGGAGCAAGAAAGGCAGTATCATATCAACATTTATACGATGTGTAGAGATACCAAGAACAGCATCAGCGTGAGCCCTCACCTACAAAACCTGCCAAATCTATAACTATGCTACATCGCAACCCTCTTCATGGTCGTTTGCTATTACCTCTACTTTATTTCTGGGCACTAAATAGTTGAGGGTCGCTCTCACTACATAACAGCGGTATCCTCAATAAAATGTCCAACTGGTTTTTGATTTCAAGGAATTTCTTGAATCCACAAAGATGAGAATCATTTTGTGGGGCTTCCGTTATGCTACAGAACATCAGTGAGAGAAGACCGAGAATTCTTGTGTATAATGCTTTTGATAAATTTCTAGTGTCCCATATTAGGCGACGTTAAACTGCTTGTTGTAGAAATCAACCTGATTTTTCTTTGACAATTGCATTTACGAAGCTAGTTGATACAAGTAGGTCTCTTTGTCAGATGCGCATCCACAAGAGGCGCAGAAGTTTACTTGCTTGGTCAATTCATAGTCGTTTGGTGCGAGTATTTGTACAATGGCCGGGACGCTCTGGTGGCGAAGGAAGGCAAAAGTCAGTTTGGCTTTTACTCTGGAATGTGAGAGGTCGCACTGATTGCTGTTGAGTCACGACTATGTAATGCCACCCCACATTTACTGTGTATCCGTGTTTCGTAGTGTTCGTGTAAAAAATTTTCGCAGCTAATTATGTTATTTATTAACATAACTTTAGAAAAGTACCTTGTTTGATTATAATAAGTAATGGAAAAATTACTAATTATTTGAATAGAACGCATCGGATATTCATTAAAATTATATCCGCACAAAGCCAGTGAAGTAGTACTATTTCATCTAAAAAATTACAATATGAAACTGCTCACCCTATTTAAGGGTTCCACAGTGACTGCACTTTAGAAATATTCAGGAACGGAGGGGGGGGTTCACGGTACTTTACGTCACATTGGTACGTGTGTAAGATTGAATAAATAGATTCATTGATGCGTTGTCTGTAATAAAGTTCCAAACATTACCTGGTTTTCTGTCCAGCCCAAAGTAACAAATGTGCTTATTTAAAAAAATATCTCTCGTTTATGTATACACCATAATTCGATTAAATGATCAAGTTTTTGTCAGTTCACTAGCAACAAACAATAATTGCCAGAAATGACGAACTTCTTCAAATTAATTATCTTCAACCATACACGTAAAAGTAATTTGATTTACGTGACGTTATGTCCATTTTTAATACAATAACCAAGTTAAAATGATTGCTTTCTTAACTTAAGTTTATTAACTAAGGTGCTGTTCATTGCATTACCTTTAATACCAGTGTTGATGCATGTTTTCCTGTTCTACTCTCTTTTTGGGAGTTGACAGTCGTTACTTTTGGTTGCATGGCTTGTCTTCAACTCTGTACCTGTTAGCTCAGCCAATAACTGTTCGTGTTGAGTTTTGACTGGAGGGAACTTGCTTTAATACGTCATGTAAATCTACGTGTGGTCCTGCCTTTTATACCTTTCTTATATTGATGTTCGACTCTTTTAGTGTCGTCTAATTGTACTCCCCAACACTGGTTTCCTAGCGGCCTATGTCCCTCCGATACCGGTAAGTAGCAGACTTGCCCGCAGAGAGGCTTGCTAAGAGATTTCCTTAAAATTTGCATGAGGTTTCCGTATATCATACGAGCCACTTTTCTTGAACATGTTACCGATCATATAATTATTGACCACTGAACTTCTCTGGTCAGTGAATGCAAATAAATAAACTGTGCCGGTCTTTTGATGGGCATTTAAATCTAAAAAAAAAACATTTAATCTAGATGAGACGACTCTAGTTGATTGCAAATGAAGAAAAAATCGATGCTCGACTTAAAGTCAAGCATCGTCTAGCAGGATCTGAGCCTCAGGCAAGAACGGGTGTGTCTTAGTATTTTATACTGGATTTGTGTAGTCGACGCAATAATGTGGTACTTACGAAATTAATAAATGCACCATTAGACAAGCGTGCCAAGTTTGGTAGCGATTAGTGGCCGCCGGAGCAATGAAAAAGACTGGCTAAACAGGGTCTGGTGGGTTTTACACTTGGTCAACTGCTATTTAAGAACAGACTCGAGGTATAGAGATGGAATTAGACAATGCATAGCTAACTGAACTGTTTTGAGTTTTGTGCCCGCTTCTGCCGTTAAGCATCGCTTTACGGTTGGCTTCAAGCGCAGAATGGGTCTGTCTCTGATTTAAAACCTAAGCCATCTTACGTGTTGTTAAGTCAAGTACCTAAACATAATGCTGCACTATCAGGAGGACAGACGAGCATGGCTGTCCCCTTGCTGGTGCAGTGGTGGCTTGTTTGCCTACAGTATTTAAGGACACATGATGATTAAGCCTCGAAACAGGGCGTGAGCACACTTCGTTTCGTGCTTGAAGCCAACCGTCTAACACAACGCTTAACGGCAGTATCAGACGTAACATTTAGAAACATTTATAGCTTGGACATCGAAATCAATATGGCTCACCGGTGAAGGTCAATAAGACAGAGCCGGTGGCTCTGTATGAGTAAATCCCAGCAGCGCGTAAAAACATACCTGAGTATGTACCGACCAAGAACTGGTCTCCACCTGGGATTTGACCGAAGTGGTCTTGCTGGATCTATCTGAGGTTTTCTAAAAGATTTATGAAACGGCAAGGCCACCATAGAAACTGCTATTAACCCTGCTAATAGTTTTATATTTCCTTTGCGTGCGAGCTCCAAGTTAGTGTGATATTAGTTAACCTTGGCGTGGCCTGGTAGGGAATGGTCAATTCACGTAGGTGCAAGAACGCTGTTTCATTAAAGCACAAGAATGGTTTAACGATAATCACTCAGCATGCAAAACAGGCAGCCACTGCGATGGAGGCGAGGGTCACACTCAACGGTAATTGGTCAAACCAATCTAGGCCATTTAAAGAGTTGCAGCGGAATATAAAAAAGTAGGCTGGACAATCCAGATCAGTGGCGCTTCTAATAACGTAAGAAAAATCGACGGCAAGAAGAAGTAGTCTAAGGCATAATGTCTTGGTGCACTTTTTTTGGTGGCTTAGTGCACATAAAAGAGAAATTACATGAAGAAAATGACACCCAGAGTTACTACTTTAAGCTTTACTGTACAAACATAAGCGGGTCTTCGAAAAGCAACGCAAGGCGATTAAATTCAATTTTTGGAAAAAGGGCGGAAAGACCAAGCGCTTGGCGGAATCTAAATTTCAGAAAATGAAGACACCTTGTTGCGTACAATAATGCTATAAATTGTCATGGTTATAAATGCTCAACAAAACGGGTGGCCACAATTCGGTTGAGCGCATGGTCAAAGGCCTGCTGGTTATGATTGAGACAAAAACCTAACTACGGAACCAGGTATTAATCAACGCCGCATAGCTAGTAAAAGCCTTAAACTTAAGTCGGGCATATGAATAAGCATAATAAGTTAATCGTACACAAGTAAAGGCAGAGATGGACGAAAGGCAACCGGTTAATAGTTGACACTCGAGGAGTGCACAAACTACGTTACTAGAGGGATTTGCTAGTTAGCAGTATTGTCTATAGGTTATTTGTAATATAGGAGATGACAGTAAGACACTGTGGGTGAATAGAACAGTGCCGGGCCGACCATGGGAGTCTGAGGGTAAAGATGGAGGTCGACGAATAATCGCAGGCGGTGCGTTTTCAACTAGCAGTAATTCATGGCTTCAATTGAGTTAACGTCAAAAAAATTGCAGCAGGCTAGACGTAAGTACATATGGGAGCAGTTGCCTCGAATAAATTGTTGAATCCCAGCAAAGATAGCAACGAAGTACCTTCCATGTTGAGAAACGTCGCAGTGGCACAGGCCTAGAAATGCCACCGAAAAAAGAAATATAATACGTTGCGCCATGCAAAATTATCTGAGGCAACGAAGCCATGTAAAGTTCGTGACAAAAAATAATTAGACTGAAACAAATCACATGAAGTTTCAGAAGCCGTTGGGGTAAACAACGTGACGAAGAAGCTTAAAAACTACCCTGACGGTCTCCTTCTAGGGGAACGTAAGCGCGACCATAGAGTACGTAGGTAAGGAAGGCGAAATCTGCGAAGGATCAATGAACTAGAAGAGTGAACGCAATTTAAGAAAAAATATCAACGCGAAACACAGAATCCGTTATAAGATGATTAGTAGGGTTCTGAAGAAGTCATACAACTTACTGAAAGCAATTAACGACAAGTAACGCTATATTTGGCCTAGAGTACGCAATGCATTTTCCTAGGAAGGCCGCTTGTCTAGGTTTTACTCCACATCCGAATAAATGATCTCCCAAGGCGCCTCGCCATCAAATCATTTGTAAAGCGGACAATATGCATCCACAATGTGGCGATATGCACATGTAGCAAATGTGATTTTTTTTTCCAAGATCCTATAGTGCCTTTGACATGTCTATGTTTAAAAATGGGACTGACAAAAAATAAAAAGGCAAATCTAAAAGCTAATTCCTCTCAAGCGTTATCCAATCCAAAGTACACAGAAACAATCGACAAACTGACTGTTTGATACGAAAATTGCTATAACTGGTATCG